TATATATTATTTATAATCTCGCTCGCTAAGACAATTTTTCGGTGTGTAAATCATTTGATGCACAGTTCAAATTTAAAGGAAATAAATTAATATCTTTTTTTGAGTGCCAAATTATCATCTATCTCTATGAGTGTATACATCAATCAAATCTTTAATTTTCAAACCTTCTTTCTCAGCCTTATTTCTGGTAGTAATTTTTATATCCCTATAAAATAGAACTCTTCTGTATACAAAAAAAAAAAAAAAAAAAAAAAAAAAAAAAACTATCAAATATTAATATGAGTACATATTAAAAAATTTTGAGTAAGAGTTTTGAAGTTACAGTCTAATCACCTTATTAAAAATATTATTAATGAAACAAATATTTTACAGCAGATTTTAACAGTGAAAGATTCATCTAAATTAAAGTAATCAAAATTTCACTGTAGGAAATTTACAGATATTTTGTAAAAAAATGACTTCTAAGTAATAAAATTCCATATTTCATTGTATTTGTAAATTTCTACGGATATATGAGAAACACAACTTGTATGTATCTTTTCGACAAAATTGGAAGAGTATAGTTAGCTTTTCTTAAATAAAAAATTTGTTAAAATTTATTGTTGCAAGTACATATTATCCGTATGTCGACTGATTTTAATTAATGCTTTTATCTTTTACAAATGTGCTCATTTTGTTAGACGCATTAAATTGTGAGATGCCTAGTAGAAAAAAAAAATCTGATGTGTACACCACTTGACTTCCTTGTATGGAATATTAAATTCTAGGCATTTTTCCTTGCATTTCATTTAAACTTATTGGACTGAATTAACTATACTTCGTCGATAGCGCATAAACCATAATAAAATATGCACTCTTTAAAATTCACTATATTTGTTTACCATAGCGATACTCTGGCGCTACGCTGATTTCCCTTGACAGCGCTATATTTCTTTCATTTTATAACGTATGTCTTATGTCAGGCAATCGGCCTATTGCAGCCTTTACCTTTTTTATTCTTGACTTTTCTAAATCTTGAGGATCAAGGGAGTGAATCATAGAATGAAGTACTTACATTACGGCGCAGAATTCAGAGATTTTAATGGAGCTCCAGTGCCGCCAGCTGTGAGAGATATAACTTAGAAGATACGAAGATGCTCATGTGGCTCCATTATTTTTGAAAAGAAAAGCTTCTAGTAGGCTTGTGCTCGGTGGGTCTCTCTTGTAGTTCATTGTGAGGCATTTTGAAAAAATTTCGTACTATCTTTAGAAAGTAGTTATTGGCAAAGTAAGATGAAAGTAAAAACATAAAAGAGACTTGGCTAATAAGTAAGAACAAAATATGTCTACATTACACCGACGATTGTGCCATTTTATAATCAGATCAAAAATTATATCACTGAAAATTATCTTATTGTTGCCACATATTCTATTCAAATTTATATAAATCTAAAACGAGTGTAAAGAAATGATTCAGTATTTCTCATTCAATTAATTCGTCCCACTCTCTACAGCAAAAATACGAAAAATCTTAAAATTATTCTAGAATAATCAGATGGATTAAGCAGACTAATTCGCAATAATAAGAAGGGTTATCTTTGTTGTTGCGAAGCTTAGTTCTCTAGTGGAACAAATCATATTCTGCCAAGTTCAAATGTAAACAAACGTTTCCGCATGACAAAAAATTAGGCTTGCGCACTTTAACAACTTTAAAGTGCTTACATTTCAATATGATACAGATTATAAAGGCTAAAACCTTCATCGCAATAAGAACAAAAATCAATCATTTTAAAGCAAAATATGCACAATTTACAAACATATAAGAATAAAGAAACTGTGATCATTGAGCCGAGTAACAGTGATGACATTTGCAACAAAGAAATGTGCATCACTAAGAGCAACATGCTGCTATTATTTCTAAGTCTTATTATTCGTTACATTTACCGCAGAAGTAATAGGGCTTCCACAGTAACTATCTGTTGCAGTTACCGTAAATGTGACAGGGTTGCTACGTGAAAGCAAATTAGAAACAATAAAATAATAGAAAAGTTAAAAACTTGTGAACTTTGTCAGACAGCCTATAGGGAGAAATGGAAGTTTAATGATGATTCCAAAATGATGCAAACTGTACCGTAATCAAATGCCAACATTTTCAGCAAATTTGTGGAGCATTTTCAATTTGATTCATCATCAACTGTGTTCTCAAGAGAACTATAAAATGATTTAAAATTTTAATTAGTAGTCTACATGAATGCTATATGTATCCAAAGCTAAACTTTAAAGAATGTGCTGTTGATCAACAACGCAGTCGAATTAGCAGTTCTTCTGTTAATTAATCTTCCTCTTATATGATTGCAGAAAACATTTATCAATGACATAATTTAAAAACATTTTGTAGACCTCTTCATTAGAGAACTCTAATGAATTTCAGGTGTAGATTAGGACAGCCTGATCTCTCCTCTTCCATCACGCATGATCATACATATTTACATTAGTTGCACATTTGTTCGCTAACATAGCATGCACTTCCACATCGATTTTAAGCTAGGTATACTGCTGAACATTTGCTAAGGACAGACAACGCTGTCATTCTTAGTACCCCAAAATGAAAGAAAGCAAAATAAGGAAAATTAGAATAACTGCGGGATATAGTAAGAAGAGGCGTGCGTAGGCGAATTTTCATTTCTTTGCCTGTTCATCACATGAAAACGCTGATAAAGGATTCAAAGGTTGTGATGCGTAGAGTCAGTTGATGTACCAAGTAAAAGTTTTACGTGAAAGATTTAATTGACTATTTTAAAAGTTTCGTTGTGTCTTCCCTACGTGACTTAGATGCTTTAAGAGTGACCGTATCATTGAACAGATCAAAAAATGGCGAACTATGTTGCCAGAGAGTTCAACATCGCCCACATTGTTGTTTCTCGGCTGTTGAAAGCATTTAAAACAACTGGAACGTGTAGCCAGCGACACGGGAGAGGCTGTCTTAGATATACAATGCTTGCAGAAGATAAGAAGATTGCTCTATAGGCAAAACGAAACTGGCACAATACAGCTCAGCAAATGGCGAATGAGTTTTTTGATGGCACAGGACCGCAGATCTTCCGAAACACTACATCCAGACGTTACGTGATAGTGATAGTAGGGGTGCTGGTAGTGAATTTTATGGCGCTTAATCTTATTAGCGCCAAACACATGTTAATTAAACACAAATTACACTTAAATCCACACATTAATTACATACAATCACAAATTAAAACATAAGCATACTTATCAAAAACGTAATAAAATGATGAAAGTTGAGATCAAGTTACTTATAATTTAAATAATGATATCAGGTGTGAAGCAGGTATAAAATCATAAAACTTGAGATACATTAATATATATAGTACTGAAATAAAAAGGTACAATAACAAAGTAAAATCAAATTACATAACAAAAACCAGTTTCCTTCAGGTAGTGAAATAAACTAGCATTGGCTTTTTACCCGATTATGGGGTCAAAAGGCGAGTCATTAAAGTACTTCAGTGTAAGTGTTTTAAAAATACGGACATTCTGTAAGGATCTTAAGTTTTACTAACATTTATTTTATTTTATAATTTTACTATCACTTCTTATTTTCCACTTCCGGCCAGAATTAAATGTGTTAATTTGTTTATGCAAATTGTACTTGCTAACGGCTCAAGTATTTAAGTTGTGGCTTTTTGCCAAGAAAGAGAGAGAGGGAAATTGAGCCGCCTTGCCGTTGTATTCCGCACGAGTTTTTCAGTTGCTGTCCGCCTGTAAGATCAGAGGTTTAGTCCTCTTGATATTTTAAAACGTATTGTAGTTTTGGTAGTTTGCGTACTACATACTTAATAATTTGAAAGGCCAGTCTTAGCGTTAGGCATTTATAACTAATTCAAAGTTAGCTCTTATTTAAAATTTTAATTAGTAGTTTTATATTTTTACGTTCAGACCACAAGTGGTTGGGCTCTGTATCCCGAAGTTCGGGAGCACCTGTAATCTTATAGAGAATAAAGGGGAAAATCAACCCTTCCTGCTTGTGTTGTCTATTCTTCATCTGTTTTGAACATAGCTTGAGTAAGCTCTCTGTTCCCATTCAGGACACATCATGTTTCCTAATCAAATCAAGAGAAACACAAGTCCTGATAATTCAACTTAAAAAGTGACACAGTGTCAGAATATTATCATAATGGGAAAAAACAGGATAGATCTTGGCCTTCAAAGATAACTATGTGGAGCTCGAGAATGACCATTACGAAGACGAGATGATATTACTTGGCCAGATGATATTACTCCCTTCGGCTTCTAATTGATTCCCAATATTCTACTACAGGTTTCACATTTTTAAGCTTTTTACTGAGGTCAATCCCATACTAGCTGCCATTTATTTAGGACCTTTTCCTTGAAAACCTCGTGGAAATATGTGAGTGGAATATACTGGCTGTACAGATCAACGGCGGATTTAACTGTGATATCTGCGAGCTCATTCCCTTTGATCCCATCATGACCAGGAACTCATCAGTGTAAAACTTGGTATCCACGCATCTGTAAGCTTACATTTAGTTTAGCACTTCAAAAAATACGGGATATTGAGTTTTGAAAACATTTCTAAGGTTTTTCACGCAATATATGAGTCAGTATAAATAATGAATTTTCTTTGACATAGTTTCGAAATTGATAAAAGCGCATAATATATAGCGGTCAGTTCAGATGTCAAGATTGAGCAAGAGTAGTGCAAGTGTTTGCCTTCCATACGGTCGCCTATTACAAATGCTTTCCCAACTTGACTAGCTGTTTTTTACCCATCTGTATATATTGGACATAGCTGCTATATTTATGTCTGTCCTCAAGAAAAAACTTTTCGTATACGATTTCGCTAGTTTTTCTCTTGTTATTATGGTGGAAAACATCAAGAATTTGGATCTATGCATATACCCATGGTAGGATTTTAAAAAGTTGTACTGCTTCAGTGAACAAACACATCAAAATTCTGCACTGCTTCTGTGGACACATCGGACATGGAATGCTCTTTTGTCAAAGAGCAAGCTCTTGGTGATATAGAAGAATACAAGATAGTCGTGTTCCAGGTAGAAGGTCTCACGTGTCATGAAGAAAATGATGAGATAATAGGGTGCAAAACTAGGATGGTCAGTTTGAGATGACATTTTAAAGTAATGCAGAAGAGACTATTGCTCACACCTCAATTGGAATAATGGTTCATAGCAATCAACATAAAGCCTGTGGAAAAAGGATGCCCTTAATTACCCCAGAACAAATCTTCAGTGCCTGATTATGAAATCTAGTTTTATCAAGACTGAAGACCGTGCAAATACATAAATAACTCAGCCGTAGCCTAGTCTAGAGCAGACAAACGCTCTGTAAACACAAAATATAGAGCAGCGCTCTGCGCCCTAGGAGATGTTTGCCAAGACTTTTAAAAGATTTAATATTTTGCTACACTTCTTCCTCAGACGTAGGACATGAGGGAGGAAGGTCAGTTTTCGGTCGAACATCACCCCCAATAACTTTACTTCAAGTTCATCTGGAATTACGGGTCCGTGAAATGTAACTCAGGCTCAGGATGGAGATTTACAAAAGCGCACCCAAACATTCTTATATTTCGAAAACAGAAATCCTTGTTTGTCTGAACAGTCCTCAATCCAGTTCAGATCAATCTGCAGTTGTCTCTCTAGATGTCTCAAATCTGCCCAATAACAGCTAATTTGCAAGTCATCAACATATAAAAACCCTAAAACGGTGTGAGGAAGTTCCTTTAACACAGAGTTTATTTTTAATCTGAAGAATGTAACGCTGAGCACAGAACCTTGAGGCATACCCTCTTCTTTCAAAAACACATCTGACAAAACAGATCCAATTGATTTTGCAAATTCCTTTCTCACGGAAATTTTAATAAAAAACATAAGTTGCCATGCAAGTCACTGGTGTGAAGATCACGAAGTGTACCATATTTTCATGCCTTATCTAAAACTCTCTACATATCAGAAAAGACAGAGACAAGATATTCTTTTCTCTCAAAGGCTTTAGGAATGGATGTTTCCAAAAAAAACGTATTATCCATTGTCATTCTTGCTTTATGAAAACCTCTCTCATTGCAAGCCATATGATATCATTCTTTTCCAACAAATAGAACAGGTGGCTGTTTGCATTCTTTCAAATACTTTGCACATATAACTTGTAAGTGCAATAAGCCGATAGTTCGAGGGATCATTCTGGTCTTTTCATAGCTTAAAAACAGGAATAACAACAGCTGTATTCCATGTATTGGGAAAGATGTGCTTCTTTCATACGCGATTATAAAGAGAGAGAAGGGCAGTCAGTGACTTACAAGATAGATGCTTCATCATTTCACAACTAACAGTATTTAGAGTGGGACCAGATCTATATGTTTGCGATAACACTCTTTTTAGCTCAAGCATCGTAAAAACGCTATTATAAGGCTCTGATCTGAGAGTTTAATACAATGGGATTGTCCTCACAGCCTAGCTTTAAAAGAAATGCTGAAGAGTAATTTCTGCTAGAACAACCGATAGCGAATATCTCATCAATAGTGTTCGCAATTTCTTTAATGGAGCTTATCATTTGGCCGTCATTTTCCAGAAAGGTAATTGAGTTGTCATTATATATTCCGCATCCTTTCCTACCTTTTTCCCATATTCATTTAGTTGGCACAGAAGATTGTATCCCAAATACATAGGATATCGATGAATCCCTCAAGCTCTTATGTCTAATTTTCCTTGCATTTCGTTTGTCTCTTCTGAAGGCAACGTTTGACAAAGTTGGGTATCTACGTGAAGTTCCCCAAGCTTTTCTTTGTTGGCTCAGAGTTTCTTGGCACTCACGGTTCTACAGTGGGTTTGGATGATTCTTTTCAAAACTTATTTGTTTTTAACTAATTTCAATGGCTTCCACTGCTCTATCAGTATGGGCCTCTTCAGCCTCTTCAGTTGCTTCTGAGAGAATTATTCCAGCTCCTATCTTTGATCCAACAGTTTCTAGAGCCAATAATTCCTTAGGAAGAAGCTCTTTTATCTTAAAATATATAGGTGCCGAAAACGCTCATCATAGATTAAACAAAGCTGATCAAAAATTAATCACAGACGTACAAGAACTTATTATTGCGAATTTACAAGGAAAAGTTGAAACATTACGGAAACACAACGACTCTCTCCAAAAAGTAATTTCAATCATAAAACCTACCAGTCCTAATCCCACAACTATTACCCCCAGCACCAACACTTCAGCTCCATATTGATCATACATCAGAAGAACCAGAACCTTCGTTTACAATAGTGCAAAGAAAGAAAAAGAAACCCCGTCAGCAATTAATCCCAACAGAAAACGTCCTTATAATAGCTTCAAAAGATCCAAATAGTACACCTAAAAATACACAACAACAATTGGCAACTCAGTTGAACCCGAAGAAGTTGCGGATTCCTATCAAGCAAATTAGGCCTACAAGATCAAAAGAATTATTAATCCGTTGTACTTCTAAAGAGCACATCACAAAACTAATTTCACAAAACCATTTCATCGGATAAAACCATCTGTGATACGTTACAGTTAAGAGCACCAAAACCATTGAGGGATTCCCTAATTGTGTTTGGTGTACCTTCTGTATTTACAGCGGAAGACTTTATTTCAGCTTCTGAAAAAGAAGGAGCAATTCACCCTAAAAAGATTTATCTTGCGGATTCTAAGACCAATTGGATAATTAACTTGGATAGAAACTATTTTATAATTTAGGACAACAGGACGAATTTACTTGGATTTAATTCCTGCCCGTTTAGACGCTACGTTTGCTTGCTTCGCTGTTTCACCTGTCAAGGCCTAGGCCATCAGAGCAGCACCTGCGCAGAATTTCCTTCCTGTGTGCAGTGTGCTAAAGCACACAAAGTACCAACTCCTAAGTGCCAGAAATTCTGACGTAAATTAACTGCACAAACTCTAGCCTAAATTAAGGTACCCATTTTGATTGCAATCACTCGGCTAATTCCAAGTTATGCCAGACTTACAAAAGGGAACTGCAGCAACTATTGAGGAACCTCAATCAGAATTAAGTTCCACTTCTCTTCATAGTTTCAAAAGCCTAAAATTTCTACAGTGTAACTTACAAAGATCCATAGTTGCAACAAATCATATGATTCAGAAGCAGTTTGAATTAGGAACGGACATAGGCCTATTTCAAGAACCATATACTGCTAAATATAACACACTAATTGGTTCTACTTCTAGTAACAGAATCTTTCTCTCTCACAATAAATTGGCTGCAATAGTCTACAATGGCTTCTTATCTCCCATGATATGGAAGACAACTGAACATACCATCTCTATAGCCTCGGGTACAGCAGAAGATTGCTTTCTGATCGTTTCTGCTAATTTTCCACCCAGTAAAAATATCGATTGCTTACTATTTGAACTAAATTACGTTAAACTATTTTCATTCAAAAATTATACCTTAGGAGGCGACTTCAGTGCATCAAGCTTCAGTGCACCTATGGGGTGCAACATCAGAAAACTGAAGATCAGCTCCACTCATAGATTTCATTGAATCTAATCACTTGGCGATTCTAAATTCTACTGATTCTCCACCGACTTTTGATACTCTTCGTGCAAAAGGATAGCCGGACCTCACACTTTTAACTATTAAATTAGCATCGCTAATACAAGATTTGGACAGTCCATGACTTTATCACTTTAAGTGATCATAATTCTATTACTTTTAGTTTACATGCCACCCTCACTGCAATTTTCAAAACACTCTTCAAATTTTTCTGTGGTGGAAGTACAAAACTAAAGAGGCACATTTTTCCTTTTATAAACACACTCACCAAGAATCAGTGAGTATGCAATACAACTAATAACTATTTCGACAACGTCTACAACCAACTAATAGCATGCTGTAAGATAGCATGTCGACAAACATTTCGAATAAAAAAGACTAACACACGTACTGGTATTTCTTGGTGGTCTGATACCTTATCTACGGATCGCAGAAATTTACAAAAACATAGAAGACAAGCACAAGCAACAACTGACCCTGCTATTAGTTGTGACCTATTTCTTAAGTATAAAAATCACAAGCTGCTTTTAAACGAAAAATCAAGGAAGGATGAAACGCTAGGAAGGAGGGAGAAATACGTTATTAAAATGTATTCTTACTTTAGGTCGAAGTCACAGAATCTAAAACAAGAAGAAAATTAAAGTTCAATTCTTGATTTTATACAGACAAAAATGTTTCTAATTATTCACAAACCAGCGCTTATATTTAATGTTTGACGACTGGTTGAACATCCCAGCACTTTCCAAAGTAGTTTCAATCAAAGCCAAATCAAATAGAGAAATTTTAACACATAAGAATGAGAGAAGAAACTCTCTCAAATTTTGAATTTTGCCCCTGTTTAAAACTTACTTCGTTCACATTTTCTTAGAAAAAAGTGTAAGTAGTAAAGAAGGGAAGTTTCAACATAAGAAATAACGTGTTGATTAAATTAAACCTTTATGAAAACGTTCTTCGATAATGAGGACTGAAATTAAAATTGCTAGTTTAAATTGTATTGAAAGTGCTGCCCATACGGGAAAGTAGTTAGTGACTACTGTACCGAAGGGCCCGAGCTGTTCGGATTCTGGAGAAGGCATAGTCCGTCCCTTTGTAAGAGGCTCACCTATTAAGTGCCTCCATAATAATGTAACCCACCGGTTCCGGAAACGGCTAGAGCTAGCCATTAGTGGGAAAAAAGTGATATTGAAAGGGAAATATTAAAAAAAAAAAAAATTGAAAAATTTCTTGCGTTCATTTTCTTTAGTCCAAAGGGGCTTTCTGAGGGACTATTGCTTTCGTTTTGCGATTTTGCGCCAAATCACTCTAAATGTCAAATTCACTTTTCAAACTGTTGCCACCCAATATTATCGTCCTGTATTATATTTGAAAAAATTAAATAATGAAGAATCATCATAAATGTATGCATGTTTCTTACATTGTGATAAAGAGCCAAACAATTTTGAATGACGCAATCCTACTGCGAATATGGGCATCTGTAAGCTCAAATTTGAAATCTGGAATTTGTTTTATGATCAATTTCATATTTTGTGAAACTTTAACGAATTTTTTATTAACAAACTCAAGGAT